CAAAATGCTAAGTGGAATTAAATGGAAGAAATCACCTTTGTTTGACTTATGAGTATTGCTTTAAAAAACCCAATTCAAAGTCCTTTCAAAGAAAAAAAAAATGCTATAGAAGATATTTGCCAAAGTCAAATCGCAAAGAATTGTCAGCTTTTAAAAGAAGGAAAAACATGGGATTGCAAATTTTGTTCATGGTGCCAAAACAGTAAAACTCGGATGAACTGTACATCTTTTAATATAATTATTATTAAAAATTTCGATTTAGATTTTTTTTCAAAAATTTCCAAACCTGAATCTTTGAAAGTTCAGTGCATCTATGAACCATCACATGGGGAAAACATATTGCGTATCTGAAACAAAAATGCCAGGAAAGGATTAATTTTCTTCGTACAATTACCGGGACTTGGTAAGGAGCCCACCCGGAAGATCTGATCAGGTTGTACCGAACAACCATCCTTTCGGTTCTAGAGTACGGTAGCTTCTACTTTCAATCCGCGGCAAAAACACATATCCTGAAGCTGCAACCACTTGGCTGTATACACTCGACGCATACGATGAGCCTCGAAGTACGCGCGGGTGTTCTCCCACTGACAGATCGTTTCGCGGAACTGTCCTTCCGGTTTCTTATCCGTTGTGAAGTAGATAACCCATTGGTAATAGAAAATTTTAAGAAGCTGCTCGACCGAAATCCTCAAACAAGATTCATGAGTTTGTACTATAAGTACATGACCCTGGAGGTTGGTCCTTCTTCATTAATCTCCAATCGCGATTGCTTTCAAGCCATCCTCTGTAAATTTTGATTTGACCATGATGCAAGAAATTCACGGAATACCAGATCACCATCGGTCGATGGTTGTTCCCTCAATTTTTGCAATCAAGTACCACCATGTAAGTAACGATAAAAGTTTTTTTCACCGATGGGTCAACCATAAATGCTGGTGTATTTAATCAATTTCATAGCGCCTCCTATAAACTGCAGAAACCATGCTCCGTATACGTTGCGGAACTCGCAGCTATATTTTACGCAGTAGAGCGAATTGCCTGACCATTATTTCATTTTTACGGATAGTCTTAGCTCATTGGAGGCTATTCGTTTAATGAGGCCGATGAAGCACTCCTCGTATTTCCTGCCTGAAATACGATCTAAACTGAGTGCTTTATCTAACTGCTCCTATACTATCACCTTAGCTTGGGTCCCATCTCATTGTTCAATTCCGGGTAATGAGAAAGCGGACTCGTTGGTTAAGGTGGGCGCTATGGAAGGCGATATTTTTGAGCGACAAATCGCCTTCAACGAATTTTTCTCCATTGCTCGTCAGCAAATCCTCATCAGTTGGCAAAAAAATGAAATGATGCTGAATTGGGAAGATGGTTACATTATATTCTTTCACAGGTGTCGAACAAACCATGATTCAAAGGGTTTTACATGAGCCGCGACTTTATACGCGTTATATCAAGGCTTATGTTCAATCACTGCTCGTTAGACTCGCAATTCTATCGAATTGGGCTCTCAGGCAGCAATTCAGTGGTTATCACGATATCGAGCATGTTGTTGGGTCATGTACGTTACACCGTGTTGCCAGATCTGAGTTATTCACATCCCTCAGGGTCCGAGGAAAACAACCCGCGATACCCGTTAGAGATGTCTTGGCCCTTGAAAGTAACTCAGAGATTCAGTCATGTTGACTAACTCTCTTTTTTCACATTCCAATTTTACTCAGTTTCGTACAAAGTGGAGTTACTCAGTGCTATTAGTAACTCCACTTTTTTGCGAAACTGAGTAAAATGTATATGGGAAAAAAAGAAAGTGAGTCTACTTGACTCAGTCGCTGAGTTACTTTATTACTTTAAATAAATGAATGAAAAATAAGACATCTTTTATTCATGATGGCATAGATCACGAAACCAGTATAACTTGGATGAACTGTTTATGTTGGAAATAAAGAAAATACTTAAAAATAAATTTCAGGGAATTTATGAAATTTCATCTATTCCGAAAAAAAAAATAAAAAAAAAATCACAGTAAGAGTTTCCTAAAAAAAATGAACCGTCGGTGGGTCGCAACCCATACATTGAGAAACGCTGGTTGAGTATTAAATTTCGCACTGGTTCTTCGGGTGAGATTTTTTTTTACTTAACATCCCAAGGAACATTGCAAGTATTATCGATGTTTTTAAGCATTCTACAAGCCAAATCCATGGTCTACAGAACCCTCATAAAACCAAAAATGTTACTTGGGACAGCTTATCATGTCTCAACTGACAGGTTAATCCATCTGAAATTCAAAGAAAGGAAAGTGAAAGTGATCTGTTACTCAGATGCTATTTATCATTTTCAATGGTTATTACATTTTAATGAAAACAGCGGAATCGAGTTGCATAAAATGAATTAATTTTAATTGTGCTAGCACAATCCATTACCAGTAGTAGTAGGAAGTGGTTCTGGACAATGTCAAAATCGATTTGAAGGTTGGTAGCTAGTGATCCCACCAGTCATTCGTTTGGCCAGATTGTAGTACACAAGCATCGTAGCAGCAATGAAGCAGCGGAGGGGTACGTAATCCACGCGTTGGGATTTTTTTATACATTCATTGCTTACTCTAAACTGCCATATAATGCTAATGAATTGAGGCAAATAAAGATGTAAATCATATTCGCCGCCCACTTTTCTGAAAATAGACAGATCAAGCCTATAACCTGACTGCGCTACGAGTGGTCTTCAGGCCCACGAGAAGTTTGCGTACAAATCAATCGCCGAAGGTTGGCAGGAAAGCATGACCGTCGATCTGCCTTGTCGGTCGCCGGACAGAATTGAACTGTCGTTAGACAAGGAAGTGATTTGTCTCGTGCAGATTTATTAGCGTAATGCGGGAGCAAATTGGTTTTCATTCAGTTTTCACGTTATTTATTGTATGTGATCAATTTCTCTTGCAATGGACAGACTTGTGACGTTTCATGTTAGCCAATCCTGCTGGCAATATCATAATTGAATTATTCGTATGAGCCTGCCAATGGCCGATCCCGAACACTCCTGCAGCACGATTTAAAGGCATTCAAAATGCAAAGTCTGACGATGTTTGCCATTCCCTGTCACATACTATGAAATTAATACACACAAAACCGAAAATTCCATTCTTATTTCAATGTTAGATGTGCTCACATGTCGTTTGCAAAAATCATTAATAAATTAGCGAACCGAACACATAAAGATAAAGTCATTTTTTTTCTGTTAATCTGAAAATTCCGATTGTTCACGGAAACGGGAAAAGGATCATAAATTTCGTGTTTGCAGAAATTTCCCTCGCGAAATGCCCAAGGGGAAGCCGTTCGATTATCATCACTTGAGTTATGTTATTTCAAGACACCGTGACACAATGGGCCCGCTACGAACAACAAAGGGGAGAAAAATTTCCTATCATTTAATTTGCTAATGATAAAGCAATAAATAACGAGGAATCTCGTTTTCAAAAATATCATTCTGTTCGGGTGATCGCGCGTGCTGGAGCCATGGGCAGTCATTCGGTCGTCTGCCCGAGAGTTTGGCGTGATAAAAGAAGACGAACCGCATTAGTCTGCAGATTAGGGGGCAATTTACTTCGGTGCTTTAGTCAAGAACGGAAACCCAGTTTTCATCGAAGCATCAGTTCAGATTACTGTGGAAAGTCATCATCGTGTGTAGAATGGATCGATAAAAGTGATGATCAATTTTCTTTGCAATCAAAAATTATGCATCGAAAAAAACTGCTGAAAACCGCACCAAAGTAAATTTACCGTTAACCGAATGTAGCATATGTTAGCCCGTAAATTTTCCCCACCTGTGCCATATGAGCCGCTTCTGGTTCAACCTCCTCCCTCGCTTCGGTATCCTACGAAACAATGAGTGATAAATATTGGCTCATTAATAAAGTACAAATTTGTCTTTCGCCGGATTTGAGGCACATAGACCCTGAAGACCGTTTGTGGTCGTTAACGTCCAGAGCTAGCTCGAGTCCCACTGACAATATCACTAAAGAGTTGTAATAATGATACCGATGAAAAACTATAACACTGCTGCTGCTGCTGCTGTTGCTGACTGTTAGTTCAGGACTCGAATCGTCCGTCGACGATTGTATGATGTGGATGTCAGTAACTCACTAGCTTTGAAAAATTTCAACCATTCCTCCAATTACTAGTTGAATTTCATTGTATTTACGAACAGCTACCAGTCTCGTTGATCCTCTATGACATAAAGTAATCCAACAATCGATGGATTTATTAATTCACAACCTTGACCACCAGCACAGTGCCAACGAATGCAAAAGGCGATTGAATATCGATTAAAGCTCAAATGAGGATTGATTAGTTAGTGTCTTTAAAATACAACGGAAAAAAAAACTATATACCCTTCCCACGGGCTATCGTAATAAAACACCACCAATGCCGCATTATAAATACGACACATATCGATAGAAAAATAGTTGTATCCTGCTAATGTTGCTCAGAACAACACGCTCAGAGAAGCTGTTGTTCCGCTCAATAGATTCATGGTTTTGCTCGGGTGAGGATGTTTTGCCAGTTTGGCTCCAGATCAACAATACAAAAAAAACTGAGATCTGCGATTAATCTTGCATTTTTTTTCCGTATCGATTTTTAATTGAAATTGGATATCTGTTTTTGTTTATATATATCCTTAAGCGGGAATCGCAAATGTTTTTATTTGTTTGCCATTTTTGTTTTGGTCCAGTTCCATTGCCGATTGAAATGTAGATCAAACTAACGTCGCTGGCATTTTTGGCATGAGTTCTCTTCCCGAAACATTGGGGATGGTGTGTTGTTCGTACCTTCATGATTTTTTTTATTTTGTTGTGAATAAGTATATCAAGTGTCTTTGTGCCAATGAGAGCGTTGTTCGAATCGTTTGACAAATTCTAGGTATAAGATTTCAGAACAACTTTCGAAATTGTCCCAATCAATGTTATAACTAATGGTGCTAATTTCTTCTTCTTGCTTCTTTTAAATTTGCAGGATGCCAGCTAAACGGTCAAAAAGTAACGAATGAGGCTACTTTGAGTGAGGATCCGTGCGTTAAGTGCACCTGTGACGGGCGCAAGCTGACATGTTCGAAAAAGTCCTGCCCAGTGCTACAATGTCCAGCCAGCAAGCAGATACGGATCCCAGGAGAATGCTGTGCCCGCTGCATGGAACGCCGAGAAGAGGTCAAATTTGGCCTTCAAAAGCACTGCGTAATCGGTAAAGTGGTCCACTTCCATGGTGCGCTGTACAAAGCAGACCAGTGTGCGGCATGTGAATGTCGTAATGGAACGACGTTTTGCGAGAAGAACACATGTCCGGTGCTAGAATGTGCCATCGAAGATCAGGTTCAAGGTCTCAATGATTGCTGTCCTTCGTGTCCGGTGCCAGCAGAGTTCAAGTCCACTTGTACCCACCGGGGTCAGGTTTATGAGGTAAGACATCGAATTGTTCAATCACTCGACCTTAGTAACAATCCAGTAGCTCTGATAGTAATTAGCTACACCTAGAAACCTGATTGGTCATGAGATAGATGAAATTTTTTAAATATGTCAGTAAAAGTCATGTTCGAGCAAAAAAGAACTTAAAAGCATTTAAAAAAAAAGATAAATTACGATTAAAGACAAATAAGGTCGACTCCAAGTTGAAATAAGTTCACTCATATTCAGTTTTGGAAAAATATCAAAAAAATCAAATCTCACCAACGCGCAAGATCATGCTTGATTTTCGAAGACAAAAATCAACAAACAAACATCTGCGGCTGATTTGCAAGCTGTGATATCGCAGGTCAGAATATTAAGCAAAAAAACTCACCAACTGCAAATCTCACCAAACTGTGGTGAGATTGTGTTTAATGATTTTTGCTTTACACCCGAATGCAACTGAAACTTCAATAACGGCTTGCAGCAGTCCCTTCGTGTCTGCTATCGGTGAAGATTAAAAAGAGATAGCAAACTATGCTTTCTCTTTCTAAGCAAGGTTGCAAAGACTCATTTCAGCTAAAACAATGTTTTTCTAAATTATGAAATAATTAGATGCCATGATCAAATTTTGAATTGGTAGGATACAAGAAGAGGTTGCAAAGAATGTGTTTGACATATTAAACCTGTTTATTTCACTTCATGATAGTCACAATCAGCGATTTTTCACAAACTCACTCACTCACTCACTCAGAGATCAGCAAATCGCTGATTGTGACTCATAGAAAGCAAAATTTACAGGTTTTATGTTTCCAACGCATACTTTGTAACCTCTTCTTGTAAGTTACAAGTAAAACATGCCATCATACCATCTTTTGGTTTTATTATTCCGAAAAACATTATTTTAGCAGAAATGAGTCTTTGCAACCTTGTTTCTAAGAAAACGATGTGCAACGGAATCATTTTTGTGTCGAGTCAACTCTCAGCTTGATTTTTGCATGCTGTGAATTGTCTCGCAATATCAAAGGAGCTTGTAAAATCAATATCAAGCATGATATTTTGATCCAATATCACGTCTGATATTGAGAGCGTATGAGAGCAGAAAAATATTATGTGATTGATGATTTTGCCAACACTGCTCATATTCTTGAAAACGTAGTTAACTCATAGACTGAGTAAAACTTTACGAAATTTAACAGGAATTTGTTTTCTAATAAGACCAACATCTTGATGCACATATGAAATTAGTACACGGAAAAAAGTTTCCATGTAGTTTCCATTGGGAATGCATATAACATGTTTCTATTAATAAATCCAATGATATCTATCTGATTTTCACATATAATTCATGAGTTCTATATGATAAATCACTTAAATTTCATGTGACATATAAGGTTCATGTGATTTTGTGGTGCAATTCCTAATTATGATATCACATGAATGTTATGTGAAATTATAATGAATATTTTCCATTGGATATGTGATTTATTCTTTGAGTGTAATTTAAACTTGAATTTGAGTCGATCTTATATGCCATGTAGTGAAGAAATCCATTATTTACTTAGTACTGGTCCTTTTGCACGCCAGCAGTGGGGGAATGAGCACATCTTAGTGAGAGGTTCAACATTCCACCACCTAAATATGGAGAAATTGGCAATCAAAAGAGCAATTCATAAGCTATGCGATTCTAAACACTTCGTGCTCAAAAAGTGTTGATGAATCAGGATCAGGGTCAGTGCTGATATTTGGCATTATCATTGACAGACTTTTGCGCGATATTGACAAAATTGTTCATCACATAGTCACTGACAGACTTGATTCTCATGAAAACCTTCGGCAAAATATCATTCATTTTTTCGTCAAAGACAAAGATTCAGCTGGTAACAAAAAGTGTAGTTTCGTGCATTCTGTGTCACATTTTTGTTGTCCAAGCAGCTCAGGACGTAGATGCTTGTTTACTTTAACGGCTCCATGTAATTGTGTTGCTCAAGTCATCTAATTTCGTTACAAATTTAGTTAATAAAAAAAAACTACACGTGTTCGTCACTGACAGTATTGTTATTGACAAATGACATGGTTTGCCTAGACTGTGACTGTTAGCTCAAATGAGTGACCAAAGCAAAATTATCAATATCACCGAGTATTCTCGAGATTTTGCAGCACTGATCAGGGTTGCTGAAACGATTCAGATATGAAGGAATATCGAAATAAACATCATCGAGAAATGCAGAGTACTGTACAACGAAGCCATGTATGATGAATTGGCTCTAAACACTTACACTGTTGTAATGATTTTTTTTTTTTTTTTATAATTACTTTATTTGTACAGGCTCAATTGAATAAACTTTACAGAGCCGAGTTATCCTTTGCGTTATACATTATTACTGTCTTAAATTTAAAGTTAAAGGAACTGGACCGAGTACTCGCGGTTGTCTCGAGGTTAGTGGAGATTTACAATTTTTTGGATGGGAAAAAGGGAAGAACGAGGTTTGAAATGTGGTTTACGATACAACTATTTAATTAATCCTAAAGCATGAAATTATTTCTATTCATCTTGGAAACAAACATTGAAAAAAAAACCCCACACGTACAAAATACAAACTAAACACAAGGTTAATCAAACTTACGATCTGTCGATCATAAATGTCGCCTTCCATAGCGCCCACCTTCGCAAGTGAATCCGCCTTCTCATTGCCCAAAATTGAGCAATGCGAAGGGACCCACGCGAAGGTGATGATGAAAGAGCGCACGGATAAAGCACTAAGCAGTTCTCGTATTTTCAAGAGAAAATACGAGAAGTGCTTTACCGGCCTAATGGAACGGATAGCCTCGACAGAACTGAGACTATCCGTAAAAATAAAGTAGTGGTGTGGAAGAAGTGAAGCAATAGTTTCCAAAGTGTAGTGAATTGCTGCCAGTTCAGCCACATACACAGAACAAGGAGCTTCAAGTTTTCGAGAGGCGCTATGAAATTCATTAAATACACCAAAACCAGCGGACTCCTCTATTAGAGATCCATCTGTGAAAAACGTTCTTGCAGAATCAACATGGCCAAACTTTGCAGAGTATAATGACGGAGCAATCATAGGACGATGATGCTCTGGAATTCCGCGGATTTCCTGCGTCATAGATAAATCAAAATTCACTGAATTGCCGAAATCGGAGAAGACTACACGATTGGGAATATTTCTTGAAGGGCTGACATCCTGTGTTAAATAAAGGTAGTACAAAGTCATAAAACATGTTTGAGGATTTAGCTCCAGAAGCTTCTCAAAGTTTTCGATCACCAGTGGGTTCATTACTTCGCAAAGGGTGAGGAGCCTCAGAGATAACTCTGAAAAACGGACGGATAGTGGCAACATGCCCGCCAGCACTTCGAGACTCATAGTATGAGTCGAGTGCATGCATCCTAACGCGATACGAATACAACGATACTGGATCCGTTCCAGCTTGATGATGTGGGTTTTAGCTGCCAACTGGAAACAAAAACTACCATATTCTAGAACCGATAAAACCGTTGTCCGGTACAACGTCAGAAGATCTTGTGGATGAGCTCCCCACCACGTTCCGGTAATTGTTCGGAGAAAATTGATCCTTTGTTGGCATTTTCGTCTCAGATACTCAATGTGGGATCTCCAGGTGCATTTGGAATCGAACCAGACCCCAAGATATTTGAAAGACATAGAATGAGTGATCGGCTTACCCAAAAGTTGAAGCTTCGGTTGTGCTGGGCTATGCTTCCTAGAAAAAACGACCAACTCAGTTTTCTCCGTGGAGAATTCGATACCCAGCTGAATAGCCCAAGTAGACAAATTGTCCAAGGTATCCTGTAAGGATCCTTGCAGGTCAACCTCTTTTGGCCCTGTGATAGACACTACGCCGTCATCTGCAAGTTGTCTCACCGTGCAATTGTCATTAAGACAATTGTCAATTTCTCTAACGTAGAAATTGTACAAAAGGGGGCTTAAACATGAGCCTTGGGGGAGACCCATGTAGCTAAATCGAAAAGCTGTAGAGTTTCCATGAGAAAAGCTCATATGTTTTTCTGACAGCAAATTGTACAAAAAATTATTCATTAATGGAGACAATCCACAAGCGTGGAGTTTCTCTGAAAGAACTTCAACGGATACTGAATCAAAAGCCCCCTTGATATCCAAGAACACAGAAGCCATTTGCTCTTTCTTAGCAAAAGCCAACTGAATTTCCGAGGAAAGCAACGCGAGACAGTCGTTCGTTCCCTTACCCCTACGGAAACCAAATTGAGTATCTGAAAGAAGGTGGTTCGTCTCAACCCATTTGTCGAGGCGAAAAAGGATCATTTTCTCCATCAATTTCCGAATACACGACAGCATCGCGATGGGCCGATACGAATTGTGATCCGACGCGGGTTTATCATTCTTTTTAATGGCTATCACCCTCACTCGTCTCCAATCGTCGGGAACAATATTGAGCTCCAAGAGCTGATTGTACAAGTTCAACATGCGCCTCTTAGCGACGTCTGGGAGGTTTTTCAGCAAGTTGAACTTGATTCTATCAGATCCCGGGGCAGAATTGCCACACGAAAGGAGAGTGAGTGAAAGTTCCACCATTGAAAAAGGCTGACTGATTTCGTCTACCGAATTCGCGGTTTTGCGAGGAATCAACTGCGACGGCACGGAATCCGGACACACTTTTCGCGCGAATTTAAGAATCCATTGATCCGAGCATTCCTCACTTTCGTTGTTAGTAGACCGGTTACGCATTCTTCGCGCCGTACTCCAAAGCGTATTCATAGACGTTTCGCGCGACAATCCGTCTACAAACTGCCGCCAGTAACCCCGTTTTTTGGCCTTGATGAGGCTCTTGAGTTCGCGTTCAAGGGATGTGTATGCGTCGAAATGCTCGCGTGTTCCGCGTTTCCGAAAAAGTTTAAACGCGTCGGACTTTTTACGGTAAACCTCCGTGCATTGTTGATCCCACCTGGTGTTTTCTTACGGATTGACGATCGCGGCACCGGTCGTGTTTGAGCTTGAAGT